CACTGAGCGATTGAAGAGATCGGCATGGCCATCAGACAAAGCAAGAGCGGCAGAGCATCAGGATCAGACAATATTCCAGCAGAGGCAATGAAAGCAGATGTAGAAGCAACTGCAAAAATATTTCACAACCTCTTCAAGAAGATTTGGGATGAGGAACAAGTACCATCAGACTGAAAAGAAGGATAACTGATCAAAATACCAAAGAAAGGCGATCTCATCAAATGTGAGAACTACAGAGGCATCACTCTTCTTTCAATATCAGGCAAAGTTTTCAGCAGGGTATTGTTAAACAGAATGTAGGACTTCGTAGACGCCCAACTTCGAGATCAACAGGCCGGATTTCGTAAGGATCTATCGTTTACTGAACAAATTGCAACATTAAGGATCATTGTGAAACAATTCCGACGTGTTCTTATTGTTAGTGATTAGCTCGTCCAGACAATCGTTACTAAATAGCGTCCCTCGGTTTATAAATCAGAAGGTGAACTCGTAGTGATGAATACCTTTATTTGGGACACACCACAAAGCGAAGCGGAGAAGCAGAGAATAAAACGAATGAGGCGACGTGAATTGGAGAAGGCTGTTGAGCCAACTCCTAGGATTACAATGCGAACGAATGGTCGGTGGAAGCGAATGAACAGGCGAAGCGCGTTGGAGAAGGCTAATGAGCCAATGCCGTGAGATAGAGCATGACTAAGAATATATAGTCAGACAAAAATATGTCAGACATGTGATAAGCGAAATAGGCATCACATATGAATAAAAGCGACGAATAGTTGACAAGGTCAAATGACAAGTGGAACACGTTATGTGAGCTCATACAAACCAGACAATAATAAGATTGAATGGTACATATAAATTGTTGCAATACAAATAGCTTGGTTAAATAAAAATTAATCGAAAGGGCTTAACTAAATTAAATGTAAGCGAACTGGAATATAATATGTGGAGGCACTACAGGCCATCATTTCATTTCACCTGACAAATTATTACACTCAGTAGTTCATATAGAAAATATACGGAACTACTCTCTGTGACTGTGACAAATCATACTACTTGCAAACTAGTAAGTAATAATAATGATTACAACCGATTTAAAGTTGATCTCAATTGATTTGTCATGATTGATTGATCGATATTTGTAATTTCACTCTTGCTTCACAAAAAAAATTTGTCTTCTCTACACACTTTACTATCAGTATATACAAATATCTATTCGAATTTCAAGCAGCTAACAAACGTTTAATGTTTGTCCTCAGTTTGGATAATCAGATCATTATTACTACTTGTACGATGAATACATTCAAATACCTCGTAAATGAACATCAAGTTGTCATACAATTTTAATTGTAATTTACAAACAATTAATTGACTTTTGAAATTATTGTTGTTCTTGGTGATTTTCCTTCAAAAAAGAACATAAATCCAATGTGTGTTAACAAGAACTTAGAAAATATTAGAAAGTGTGAAAAAATGCTAGTCGAAAGTGATAACTCTGCTTCTATCATGTACGGAAAAGGATGTGATGAACGTCGACAAAACAGGGTCATCTTACCACATTATGTAAGAATACAGGAATGTTCCGGATGTGATTCTCACACTCAGGATGCACAAAGTTGCTTCAAGATTATCTTGCGTCAGTACCTCAACTAGTGATGGAACGTGAAGTAATGTAGTGTGTTAACTGCTTCAATAATTAATAATACACAGCCATCTTACCATCTTAGGTAATAATACAGCCATATTCGGGATGCGAATCTCGTCTTCACTATTGAATCAAGCATCAGTCTGGTAAACTTAACACTTGAGACTAATTGTTTGACAGTGAAGAAAATTTGTAGTTCATTTGAATAAATTTGATAATTAGGTTTCGTTGTCTGAGTTGGATAGTTTGGTTGTTAGGTAGGCTTTTTCATTGTTCTTCTGAACAATATCGTCAGCACAAACTTCAAAATACAACTGAAATATTCAAAATCGAGATTAATTCTTAGGAAATTTCACTCATTTGTATAAATCGAATTTATTATTGATAACTGTTCATTGGGTTATTTGACAGAATGATTTTACATTACGTGGTTGTGAAGACTGTTAAGTTAGACATTTTTTAAACCATAAATCGATCAATGTTAGACCACCACCATTAGAAACCTGGAAGCACTTGATGATGGCCGTTTCGTCCTGGTATAAGACTCATCAGCAGCGGGCATCAACGACTCCTGCACCCCACAGGATTCGAACCGAGGACCTTCGGTATTGTGCGCAAACGCCTAACCATCGGAACACTGAGCCGGTGTTGATGTCTAACTTGATCAAATTCACGCAGTTGCGCAACCTCATACACAGTCTTCTATAGTTACTGTCTACACCCGAACAGGTTGAACTTCACAGTGGTCACGTCTTCTCACACTAGAACTCGGAGAAGATTCCTCACGAAGCTAGTCACTAGTGAGCACAGGTAATTTGCATTACGAGGTTGTGAATATTGTTAAGTTACACATTTTTTTAAACCATGAATCGATCAATACCTGGGTGCAGGTGTCGTGGATGCCCACTGCCACTGATGAGTCCCATACCAGGACGAAACGGCCATCGTCCAGTGCTTTCAGGTTTCTAATGGTGCTGGTCTAACATTGATCGATTCATGGTTTCAAGAATGATTTTAATCGTTTAACTGATTATAGTGAGGTAGATAAGTATTTTAATAGAATAGAATTTAGAATATTTCATTTAGAACCTACCTTCATTTACATTTGTAAATAGTTCTTGTTTGATTTTTATATATATGAGAAAATGTTTTTGAAAATTCACTATTCTCTCTACAAATAGACACATATCAAGTTGTTATTTATTATGTACAAAATAAATACGTTGAAATAATGATGACAATGTTAACCAATTAGTTGTCTATAAATTAGGAATTCTTCATTCATGTCAACTTGAAACGAATAAGTTGTCAAGTTTGTAGAGTTAATTTCATGTAAAATATCATTGTCATTTTTGATAATTACTAATTTTTATCCATTTCACATGTGAATTTTTCTCGAATTCCGTGTAATTTCAATGAACAATAATAATTAAAATACGAAAAATTATTGAAAAATGAAAATTACTGAAAATTTGTTTTACTGAAGTAGTAATGTAGTGAACGAGAACACAAGTGAGGCAACCGAATAGTATTTAACGAAAATTACAGAGTTACTCAGTAAAATAGGAAAACCATATTGTAAATCGTTAATTTGCAAATCTTCAATCCATCATCCATCGAACTGGACTGTTCCTGTTGCAAAACATCAATCCATTGTCACTATTCACTTTCCCCCAGACTCCCCATTCATACTCGGCAATGTACGGCGCAGCGACATCGTGAACTCCACAGCCAGCACCATCGAGTTACCATCAGCCGACAGCCTCACCAACCGGAACCCCTGCGGCGCCTTCTCCCTGTCCACTGGGCTGTCGAACTCCGTCATCAGACGCCCGGTGACCGTCTCCCACGCCGTCCTCCCGGCGGCACCGTCCAGGCTGTCGTACACCGCCTTTGCCCCACCTCCCCGCAGCGTCCCCAGCACCGCCAACTCCGCCCCAGGCCACTTCACACCCACCAGCTCCACCGCGGCCTCAAACTCCTCCAGGAAGCTCCGTAAATCTCCGTCCTCCAACCCCTTCGGCCACGGGAGCTCCTTCCTTCGAGCAGGCAGCGACACCAAATGTAGTGAACGAGAACACAGGTGAGGCAACCGAATAGTATTTAACGAAAATTACAGAGTTACTCAGTAAAATTGGAAAACCATATCGTAAATCGTTAATTTGCAAAATATCAGTCCATTCTATCGAACTGGACTGTTCCTGTTGCAAAGCATCAATCCATTGTCACTATTCATGTGTTTCATACAAATTCCATTGTGTTCCCACTCTTCCTTTATTGATCTTTCCCCATCTTCTGCTGCCAGACATTACGTTTACACTCGTGTCATATACTACTTATAAGTAGCGCGCACCACGGTAGTAGTGCACATCCACGACTCCTGCTCCTCGCAGGATTCCAACCCGGCACCTTTGGCATTGTAGGCGAACGCCTTACCATCGAACCACCGGGCCGGCACCCAACGGTGTTAATGTCTAACTCTGATTGATCTAAGGATTTTGCGCGACCTCACCCATTTGTCTTTGGTAGTTACTGCCTACACCCGACATGGTTGAACTCCATTGGTCACGTCTTCTCAACTAGAACTCCGAGAATTTCCCCACGAAGCTAGTCACTAGTGAGCAAGCACTGTTACGATATTTTGGGGCAGAGTTTTGGAGGTTTGCGTTTTTACACATTTGATTAACAATGACTGATTGATGATTTCAAATGTGTAAAAACGCAAACCTCCAAAACTCTGCCCCAAATTATAAATAATTAGTCATGTTTTTTATCGCATGGAGTTGGATCAATCGTCTTGTTCACTTCCTTTTCGCTTCACTTTTTACTTGTACGCTTTTAGTTTACATTTCTGTCTGCACAAAAAGGATTGACTGAATTAAATTCATCCAACTTCTCATTACCACCGTCGTCACACAGACCGGCTTCGCCTGAATACCATAGACAGAAATGGTCAGAATGACTTATTTCATCAGATCAAGTGAGCCACCAAAACAGTAGTAAGCCATACTTCACATTCAACACAATCATGAAAAGTTAACTACTCTACAGAATTCTTTTGTTGTAAATGATTTTTCGATTTGATACATTATATATATATATATATATATATATATATATATGAAAATTTTAGACATTTAACTACGGATTGTGCATATTTAATGCATACTAACATTTCACAAAAAATATGCGCGCCTGTGTGTGTGTGTTCGCAATCGAATGTGAACACACCAATTGTCTGTCTCTATTCCACATTGGATAACAAAATTAATCGGGGTGTTTTGTGTATCGAATTACTTACTCTCTCTTGCACAACAAACAACCGTATTATGCATTCATTCATGTGAGATATCGTTCTGTCTCTGTCGGGTCAATCAATTTCGTTAGATAATATCATATCAAAATCATGTTCTTGTGGTGGTTGTGTATGAGTGAGAGATAAAAATCTCTTCGATGCATATATATATATATATATTTAAAAATCTGTATCAAATTGTTATTCACACATAAATAAAAAATGACAAATGGAAACTACTTAAAACATTATTAGTAATGTTATTATTAGTCATTGAAATTGGACAATCTTATATATGACATTTGAAAAAATTGAATATGACAATCATTGGTAAAGTCAGCTTGCTAATGTTTTTACTATTACAATTTGTTTTAAATGGTAAGTGAAATTTGAAATTTTTCAAATTTGATTTCATCAATGAATGAATTCTCTTGAAAATTTCCCCATAAGTTTATAAATATATTAAAGTACTTACTTACTTAACATTGAGACAGGTTGTCTGTTGTTGATGTAAGAAGTCTGTAGATAGATAGTAAAAAACATTAGGAGGAATTGTTTGTCAGTTAAAATAAGTGGAAATATTTATTAGACCACTGAGCCGGTATCTAACGGTGTTAATGTCTAACTTGATCAACAAATTCACGGAGTTGCGCAACCTCATACACAGTCTTCGGTGATAGACACTGCTTACACCCGAACAGGTTGAACTTCACAGTGGTCACGTGTTCCCACCACTAGAACTCGGAGAAGATTCCACACGAAGCTAGTCACTAGTGAGCACAGGTAATTATTTGCATTACGGGGTTGTGAAGATTGTTAAGTTACACATATTTATTTATTGTTAATGAAACGAGTAGATAGAGTGACAATTTAAAAAGGTCACAGGTCACAATTGCATTATGTAAAGATAATTTCTATTGAGCGTAAACTACAAAGTCAATATTTGTCATTTCAGTAGTCAGACTGAAAGGTCAGATTTCATCTGCTAATTCAGAGTTTTAAATGAAAATTATCGAGGAGCTCCATGCTTGGATGAAACAGGTATTCTACGAATGACTCCTAAGATTACATGAGCTTTATGATGGCCGTATTTTTATTCTATGACTTGGATGGTTAGGAACATTTACATTTCATTTAAGATGGTGGAGAAAACTTGTAGTTCAGGTGGATGATTGTGGTGGTGTTTTGTTCTCTGAGCTGGTTGTTTTGGTTGTCGAGCTTTCATTGTTCTTCTACAGCTGAACAACATCATCAGCACAAACTTCAGATAGATAGAAGTGAAGCATTCGAATTTCTGCACGTTTGACCCATAGCTTGTTTTGTTAACCTCGATCTTGATTGGTTGCTGTTGACTTTTGACCTGTCGTTTTTTGAAATTTTGTTTTGATTGCACCCCCCTTTTGATCTGTTTATTGATCCTATGATTTTTGTGATTGGTTGATGGGTTGAGTCAATGTCGATATGTTTGTTGATTGACTTGAGTGCCAAGCTTCTAAAAATTCTCTAGTGTTCTCTAGTGTCCTCCCCCTACCCAGTATTTCCACGTTGTTCCAATCAAATGTGTGTCCATCATTGTCGGTGTGTATTGATATAAGCAAAGCGTTGTCGTGGCGTTTGACTGCTAATTGATGTTCACGTACACGGAGCTGAAGAGGTCGTCCACTTTGTCCTATGTAGTGTTTTTTCACAGTTTGAGCAATTCATTTTGTAGATGATATTTGCTTTTTCTTCATTTGTCATTTTGTCCTTTGGTCTACATAGAGGATTGATTGAAGTGATTCTGTTGGTTTGTGTGCCACACCTATTCCAAATGGTTTCAGTAGTCGTGCTGTATGCTCCGATATGTCTTTGATGTATGGTGGGATGATCCGTTTATGGGTTCCTGTTCTTGATTTCGCTTCTGATGATGGTTTCGGTTGATGTTTTTTGATGAAGTTGTGTGGATAACCATTCTTTTGGAAGATAGTCATCAGGTGTTTTTCCTCGTTTTTTAATGCTTCGTATGTGCTGCTGCTGCACGTAATAACAATGATCACTTGTTTACCTGTGACTAGCTTTGGTAGGCAATTCTTCAAGTTGTAGTGAAAATCTGTGACCACTGGAGTTCACCCACCGAAGATAAATGTATCAAGTCGCATAATATCATTGATCGATTGAAGTTGGACGTTACTAACGTTGGATGACGACTGAGTGGTCTAGAAGTTTTGTTCGCACTTTGCACTAAAGTTCCAATTCTTATTTTCACTGTCATGGATTCGCTTTGTTTTTGAGTCCTATTTAAAGAAGGAACAGTCCGATAATGATTTGAGATTCATTAATTCATGATTTGAACCACTCACACACACTATCGATCGAATCAAACCTCCGTCCGTCAGTATTCATGCTAGCTCAAAATCTGGCTCCATTATTTATGAATTGTCGAATATGCTATGAAATTAATCTCCTCATCAATTTCCGTATATGATACACTAGGCGAATGCAGTTTGTGTGACTGTGGTAATAAGAACCCGAATACGGATTCGGTTGGATGAGTTTCATTTTCAGCCAATTGTTCAATGCAGACATGATAATCTAAAGTATACAAACAAAGCGAAGTGAAGTGAAGTGAAGTGGAGAAGGCGAGAGAGCCAACTCTATTCGATTAAGCATGATTAAGAATTTATAGTCAGACGAGAATAAACAACACATGTGAAATAAGCGAGATAAGCACGCACGCACACACACACAAATAAAAGCAAGGAACATATAAGTGAATGACTTACATGATCAATAGACTAGTGAGCTAATTAATTTGTCCAAAATCTGGGACAAGCCCTGTGGGCTATACATACAGTTTTACTGAATGATTCCATGAAAGACCATAATACATCCAGTATTTATGAGATGATAAGATGCTGAGATTTTCTTAATTTTCTCTTAATTAATTCGCAAATTAGGTTTATCTGAAAGATAAGACCAACTCTGTGAGCTCGACAAATCAATTCACCCTACACCATTCTATTTATTTAATTAAAGAGACAGCGAAATTCAACGATTGACGTAGAGACTGAGAGACAGATACAACGCAGAACTTCGTACGTACGTATGTACATCAGTTCTGGTTGCCATACTACGTCAGCACAGAGACCCAAAAGTCAGTTCAAATCCAAGAGTGATAGTGATAGTAGAATTATTATCAGCGATGGAAAAGATTAGGGAGCGAAGATATGATTCGAGAAGTATAATTCAGTGAGATAAATTTATAAGGAGAAAGGTAGAGATTATGAGGAATTAAGAAGGTTAGAATTAAAAAGCACACAAAGAGAGTGGATGCACCTGCGCCATTGCAAACGATTTTGAGCCATGTCATACAAGGTCTCTAACCATCTCGCGGACCCCAACCAGGTAGTCGACAATTACCGACATGGCTAAGTCCACTCGTCAATGACTTCATGGATTTCTGCCATGTTTTGGTTTGGCCGCCCCTAGCTTTCTTCCAACCTACTCCTACACCACAAAACATTGCTCGTCGGGGCAGTCGGTGGTTAGGCATTCGTAACACATGTCCCAACCACTTCAACAGAAGAAGTTTTAATACTTCATCTATTGATTTGCCATTTGATATGTTCGTCACTAGGTACGCTTGAAGCTATTACGAGTTCACCTTAGTCAATAAACGCGAACGAGCCAACAAACGAGCGTTCAGGTAGGCTACCTTGAATCCCAAACTGCAAAATAGAAGGCTTTGTAAGCGTAGAAAGTATATTCGATAAACACCCAGCAATCACAATACTATCCAGTAAACAACTCTCGTTTATTTATACATCATAGAAACGTCCTTGGGACAGTTACGAAAATAGCACACTAAAACACAACACAGCAGCCAATCACAGCCATGAATTTTCCTGGTGGGTAATGAAATCTCAATCTAGGTCAACTGATCAGCCCATACTGGCAAACGTGAAATCCAAAAATGAAGCATTTATCGAACGAGTTCTGGGGATCTAACATTAAAAAATCCTTAAAATGTTTATGACTTTCTTTTCTACAAAGCCTAATAGTTAATTTACAGTTCCTATACATGTTCCAACTATTCTCAATAAATTATTCTTTCTAACTGATCAACTACTTACTATCTTCAGACGAAACAAGCATTTACAATTATTATTGCACTGACTCTAATTATTTATTGTTTTCACATTTAGTTCTTTTTAATACATGCAAATTTAATTCGTTCATTGTATTCATTTGATAAAAATCGATCAATGTGAATCCTTCATTTACACGCAGGCAACGGCTGAAAACCAAATTTATCGACCTATGTGATAAACTTTTCATCATAAATCTTGCAAATTTCACCAGTTTTCTTTTTAAATTTTCTTTTTTGTACATTTAAACAAATCAAACATGAACATTGAATGTGAAATAAATTTGCTTGATTGTTTTTTCAAATTGAAAAAAACTAACATTATTACCCGCATATTCAAATTTAAATTAAAGTGTTAGTTTCTATTTAATTGAAATTCTAGGATACCATTTTTTTGAAAATGATTACGTAATCTGTAGAAATGTAAAATGAAAATAACAGTAATCCTAAAAAAAATTAAAGTAGAATTTTTCACACCTTTTTAACCAATTCTCACTCAATTATAAGCGCACTAATAATGGTAACGCACAGATTTTAAATTTGACCGCTTTTCGTTTCAATCTTCAATGACTAAGTCAGTTTGATCAAATTTCGGTTGTTCAACATCTGTCTGCACCCAATATTTATTATAATCACTCAAATGTAGGACGGAATCGAAATTTCGAATTCCTGTAATGTCAGGTACAATTTAAAAAAAATTACCATTTTAAAAGATCGTTAGTCAATGTAATATCAATCAATGTCTCATCAATTGATCATTGTTAGACCACCATTAGAAATCTGGAAGTACTGAATGTCCGTTTTATCCTGGTATAGGACTCATCAACAGTGCAAATTCATGACTTCTGTTACACACAGGATTCGAAACCAGGACCTTCAGTCTTGCGCACGAACGCCTAATTAACCTCTGACCCATTGGGCCGGCATCCAACGGTGTTAATATCTAACTCTGATTGATTCAGGGATTTTGCGCAACTTCACCCATTTGCCTTTGGTAGTTAGTTACTGCCTACACTCGACAGGGTCCCATACCAGAATGAAACGGCCATCGTCCAGTGCTTCCAGGTTTCTAATGGTGGTCTAACAATCATTGATTGATTGATGATTTTAATGTGTAAAAGAACACTGACCTTCATAACTCATAATTAAGAAAAAAATAATATCAATGTATTTGAATTAAGACACCTTTACATATCTGGGCAGCATCATTGACGAGAAAGGTGGATCCGATGCAGATGGGAGGGTGCGGATTGGCAAAGCTAGGGCTGCATTTCTACAGTTGGGAAATATCTGGAACTCCAATCAACTTTCAACCAAAACCAAAATCAGGATTTTCAATACATATGTCAAGACAGTTCTACTGTATGGAGCAGAAACTTGGAGAACTACGAAAGCCATCATCAGGAAGATAAAAGTGTTTATGAACAGTTGTCTACGCAAAATACTTCGGATTCTTTGACCAGACACCATTAGCAACAACGTAACTGTGGGAGAGAACAAACCAGATCCCAGTGGAGGAGGAAATCAGGAAGAAGCGGTGGAAATGGATAGGACACACACTACGAAAAGCACCTAACTGCGTCACGAGACAAGCCCTCACATGGAACTCTCAAGGTGAAAGGAAAAGAGGAAGGCCAAAGAATACATTACGCCGTGAAATAGATAAAGATATGAGAGGAATGAACAAACATTGGACAGAACTGGAGAGGGAAGCCGAGGACAGAGTTGGTTGGAGAAAACTGGTAGGCGGCCTATGCTCCATTGTGGGTAACAGGCGTAAGTAAGTAAGTAAGTAAGTAAGTAATTTGAATTGAGAGTATACCGACATAATAGATTCAAAGCAGTCTTGAATATCCATCCACTTATTAAGTTAAAAATATATATAAACTTTTCAAAACTTTAACTGTAACTTTAACTAATGTTTCATTTAACTTGTCAATTGATTTCATGTTAGGCAGAAATCAATTTGAATAATCGCGATAGAAAGTTGCAATTAATTGATTTTTTTAAAAATGATGTCAATGTCAAAATTACACACACACACACGCACTTATTATTTGTGTAGTTGACAGAGAAGGCGTCATATTGAAACCTTTTAAAACTGTTATTTTTTCTGCCTAAATTCACTTTCAAAGTAGCAAGCACATGATTTTTGAGAAAAAAAATCATGAAAAGCAATAAATGTTCAAACTTTCTTTTTTTATTTTTAACATTTGACAATGAGATTGTGCAATGAATGATTTGTAATGGTAGGTACAAACAACAATTACAGATTTTTTATATAACGAAACGTTTTGACAATATTTCTGATACTTTTTTGAGAAGTATTTGTTGGGGATGTTAGATCCCCAAAACTCGATTGATAAATGCCTTATTTTGGATTTCACGTTTGCCAGTATGGGCTGATCAGTTGACCTTGATTGAGATTTCATTTCCCACCAGGAAAATTCATGGCTGTGATTGGCTGCTGTGTATTTTAGTGTGCTGTTTTTGTAACTGTCTCAAGGACGTTTCTATGTTATATAAATAAACGAGAGTTGTTTACTGGATAGTATTGTGATTGCTGGGTGTTTGTAGAATATACTTTCTACACTTACAAAGCCTTCTGTCTTCAGCTTGGGACTCAAGGTAGCCTATCTGGACGCTGGTAATTATCTCGTTCGCGTTTATTAACTAAGGTGAACTCGTAATAGCTTCAAGCATACTAAGTGACGAACCCTACAGTATTGAAGTATTGAAACTGCATCAGTTGAGATGGTTGGGACATGTGTTACGTATGCCCAGCTGCCGACTGCCTCGACGTGCTATGTTTTGTGGTGTAGGAATGAATAGATTGGAAAAAAGCTAGGGCCGGTCAAACTAAAACATGGCACAAACGCATGAAGTCACTGACAAGTGGACTGACTCATGCTGGTAGGTGTCAACTACCGGGTCGGCGCCCGCAAGATGATAATAATCAATGGTTAGAGACCATGAAAGACATGACTCAAAATGGTTTGCAACGGTGCAGGTGCATTTATACTTTGTGTTCTCTCAAATTCTCTAATCTTCTGAATTCTTCATCCCCTATATTTTGTTCTTTCTAAGTTTCGTTTACTAGATTCTACGTCTTTGAATAATTAATATCTTTGAACTCTAATCTCTCCGATTACTGCTAATATTTCTATTACCTCTAGTACAATGGAATTTAAAATTGACAGTTGCATCTCTGTGCTAATGTGATATGACAGCTTGAACAGGTGTACGTATGTACGAAGTTCTACGTTACTGTTGATTGATCGATTGATTGATTGAGTCTGTTCAGTCAGTCAGATATAAGCATCCTACAGTTTGAGCGGATAAATCCATCAAGTTGTTCAAGTTGTTACATCAAAACACTGTTACGCCTGCACGTAAACATGTCAACTTGATATACTTGAACTGTTACAAGTTTACCTTGTCGGAAAAACGAGAGCGAGGATCGAGGATCCAGTGACACGACATGCTACTCAAATCCGATTATCCCGACCCCTATATTTGGTAAAAGGAGACAAGACTTGAAATGAAGTAGAACCTGCATTCTACAAGCATCCAGAAAGTACGAGGTCCGAATCCAGAGGAGAATCGGGATCCCGGACTAGGGATCCGGCACCGAGCCCTGGTCCTGGTCGTGGTCGTAAAATGTTACAGATAATGTGTATTTATACATTTTGGTCGAATAGAAAACAGCATCGAATTCTGTGACATTGACAGTTAAGACGACCAATAAGAAGTAACATTTGAAATGACATTGACAGTCCGGATGACCAATTAGAGACAACATTGAATTATTTGACTTTGACAGTTCAAACGATCATAAATTTTACCAATAGAAATCGACCAATAATTCTCTTAGGATATTGGATGAATATCCTAACACAACCGAATCGCTATCCTTTCTCTGATATTTTATTTCAAACCTCAGGACTGTTCAGTTCGAGGCCACATGATACATGAATAATACTTTAATATTGTCTACTCTAGAATACTAGTTACTATTAAAGGGCACAATTCTTATTCACCATGTAGAACAGAATAAACTATTGAGGTGGTGTTTCGTTCTCTGAGCTGGATGTTTTGATTGTGAAGCTTTCATTGTTGTTCTACTGACACAACATCATCAGCACAAACTTCAGATAGAAGTTAAGTATTCGAATGCACGTTTGACCTTTAGTTTGTTTTGTTAACCTCGATCTTGATTGGTCGCTATTGACCTTACACCTGTCGTTATTAGTACCCTTGTTTTGATTGCATCCCGTTTAGATCTATTTCTTGATCCTATTTCGCCCTACGATCGGATCACCAACGTCTCTGATGACATAAAATTCATGATCAAAAAGGAATCAAATAGCAGTCTATCATTCTTGTATATACTCATCACCAGAACTAACACGGGGAAACTGGAAAATCAAGCATTTCGGAAATCAACCCACGCAGACCTAATTCTCAACTACAGTAGCAATAACCTAAGGACTGACAAAATCAGCTGCGTATAAACGTTGTTCAAGAGAGCGAAGACACACTACAGCACACTTGAAGCACAAAGAACTGAAGAAGAATATCTAATGATCATCTTCCGAGAGAACGGCAATCCACGCAACTTCATCAAAAAACATCAACCGAAATCGTCAACAGAAGCGAAATCAAGTACAGGAACAAATAAACGGATCATCCTACCATACATAACAGACAGATCGGAACATTCAGCACGACTAATGAAACCATTTGGAATAGGTGTGGCACACAAACCAACAGAATCACTTCAATCAATCTTATGTAGACTAAAAGACAAAATGACAAAGGAAGAAAAACCAAATATCATCTACAAAATAAATTGCTCAAACTGTGAAAAACACTACATAGGACAATGTGGACGACCTCTTCAGTTCCGTTTACGTGAACATCAATTAGCAGTCAAAAGCCACGACAATTCTTCGCTTATATCAATACACACCGACAATTATGAACATACATTGGATTGAGACAATCTAGAAACACTGGATAGGGGGAGGATAAAGAACACTAGAGAATTTTTAGAAGCTTGGCACTCAGGTCCTCCATCAGCAATCAACAAACCTGTCGACATTGCCCCAATCAGAAAAATCACATGTGACATAGGATCAAGAAACAGATCTAAACTCGATGCCATCAAGACAACGGTACTAATAACGACAGGTTTAAGGTCAGCGGCGACCAATCAAATCGAGGTTAACAAAACAAACTAAAGGTCAAACGTGCAGAAATTCGAATACTTCACTTCTATTTATCTGAATTTTGTGCTGATGATATTGTTCAGTAGAAGCACAATGAAAGCTTCACAATCCAAACATCCACAGCTCAGAGATAAAAACGCCACCACCACAATCATCCAACTGAGCTACAAATTTTCTCCACCATTTTGAGAATAAACCTTTGGCGCAGGTTCATTTATTTTATAATACAACATAGAAATTTAATCTACACACTGAAAGTTATATACATTCACTCATCATCCTAAAACGAAGTATTTTGTATTTTTTTTTATGTTACAGCTTACACTATAAAATGTCGTGTTTGTTTGCCGTGTGAAGATGAATATAAAAAGCTATTCAAAATTACAAAAGATGAAATTTTAGATAATTGTGGAGTTTGTATTGTAAGTAATACAAAAGCACATTATATTTCACATTAAAATCATGAAATATTTCGCATTTATTTAGTGTTTTTACACATTTGAAATCATCAATCAATCATTGTTAGATGACCACCATTAGAAACCAGGAAGCAGTGAACGGCCGTTTCGTCCTGGTATGGGACTGACTCATCAGCAGTGCACATCCACGTCTCCTGCATTCCACAGGATTCCAACCCGGAACCTATTGATATTGTGCGCGAACACCTAACCCCTGGACCACTAAGCCGGTATCTGACGGTGTTAATGTCTAACTCTGATTGATCTAGGGATTTCGCGTGACCTCACCCATTTGTCTTTAGTAGTAGTTACTGCCTACACCCGACAGGGTTGAACGCCATTAGTCACGTTATCTTGTAGCGAACGAGAACACAGGTGGGGCAACCGAATCGTACTTAACGAAAATTACAGAGTTACTCAGTAAAATCGGTAAACCATATCGTAAATCGTTCATTTGCAAAATATCAGTCCATCATATCGAACTGGACTGTTCCTGTTGCAAAACATCAACCCATTGTCTGATATTTCACTGTTCATGCGTTTCATAGAAATTCCATTGTTTTCTAACTCTTCCTTTATTGATCTTCCCACATCTTCTGCTGCCAGACATTACGTTGACATTCACGTCATATACTACTTATAAGTAGCTCGCACCACAATCTCACTAGAACTCCGAGAATTTCGAATATATATAAGTCTACATTAAACAAAATAAGCTTCATTATCAATTGGAGAACTAATGAAAAAAATCGAGCTATAATGAGCATGTGTTTCGTTTCAATTTGAACAACATCTTTCATAGCGGATAAACTTAATGTCGCATGAAATTAGCGACGGGATACTAAGATCTTTAGAAGTACACAATATGTCAGAGACATTGTATTTGTGTGCATTCAACTTCAGTTGAGTATTGAATTTATAAAACCAAATGTTGAGTTATCCGAGTATCAATAACTGTGTGCCTTAAAGTTTTCAGTCAACCTCTTTGAATCGAATAAATATCTATTTACGCCTTATTGTATTCATACTTATCACAAACGTTTGTCAATAATTCTAGCTACAACATTCTGATGTATTTTCATGAGATTTTCCAACCGAAATCATTTATTTACGTATGTATAAACTATTTCATAAATAAGAGGATGCTGGTCGGTAGGCATAACTAATTAAGCTACGCACTTCGTAATCTCATTTTTGAAATATGACAGGTAATAAATATGCATCTAAATAGAACCTGATCACATAGAATGAATTTGAATTATTCAACTCTAGTCTTCTTGTCTTTCCGCCGTTTCACGGATTAATAAAGCCCAAAATGTGTATATGATTTGAAAATGCTTATTTGGTAGTTTTTTTAAAATTGTACCTTGAAAAATTCTCATGCTTTCATTCTATTCACAGACAGCATACTCAACATTTCAAGGTTATCAAATGGAAGGTAGAGGATGTTTACCTGAATGTCCACCAAAAAATGCAATCAATAAACTTACCCCGGGACTTATTAGCAAATATGACTGTTGTTATCGTGATCTATGCAATAGGGCGACGGAATTATTTGTACAGTACAAATTGTTAATGATTTCATGTTTAATGTATTCATTATTATTTTTAATATTATTGTGAAATAATGTGATTGAGTATTTCCTAAATATGGATGTTAATCAGCATTTCACTGACATATATATACTTGTAATTTGTTTATGATTCTTCTTTAATGAGAACAACATAAGTAATCTATTTCGGTCAAAATTTTTAATAGTGCAGTACTGATGCATTTGGTTTTTTTAGTCAAGCAGTATTTCTTCATTTTTTTTCTGTATATAAATTTGACTACTTATTAGTAGTCCAACACTAACAACTAATATTTTCGGATAATGCGTCATTTGTTAAAATGATTTAATTTATTGGTTGTTTTTAGTCGAATTCACATCCTAACAAGAAAGAATCTCGAGAAAGAAGATTGCTGAAAGTCTGTAATATCATATTTAAACAGAATTTATGGTAAGAAAGGACTCATATATTTATGACTTATAAAAACCATTTACTATTTGAATGGTCTAGAATGCTGACCAGTTACTCAAACCGGAGTCTTTGACCCAAATGGCTGGTCCAAAAGGCGGTGGTGAATTGACGTTCAGTCCCATGCAGTCCCATGATAGCCACTGAACAAAAATAAGTTAATACGCCTCATATTTCCTCAAGATCCTGGGGCCTATAAGTACTATTGATTTAAAACGTGGGTCTTCTAGCTTCTTGAGGTCAGTCTTCAGTATGATTCAAACCGATTTGAGCCTGAACCGGAAGTTAAGTTTTAGTGCACAACATCCGTATCACGAAAAGGCAGTGATTAGGAATTCTCTGATAGTTGTGGTTGTATACACTTGGCCATATGCTTAAAATTTGGAGAGAGAGATGGTGTACTTTCTTCAATCTCAGGAGTTCCAAGGAATTGTGGCGGGAGAATTCACATTAGACCTTCATCTAATATGTGATCTGTGCATATTTAGAGAGAAGTATCAATGTATTCAAACTCTGTCAGCTAAAATTATTGTACCTGTCATCCGATATGAACCTTTTTTTACTTAATTTTTGTACAACATTTAGATTGAGGAGCTTTGACGAGAGTCTAAAGTCTTTTCAATGCCCTCTAAAATTTCTCTGCAATAAAACATAACTACCATCTCCATAGACTGAATGCATATCATCAAGAAATGAAGGCTATGAATTCAACGGTTACAAACATGTCTGCCCTAAATGTATTCTAAATTTTTGAAGCTAATAGGATTTAAAAAGTTGAAGGATGACGGAACTACATTAATTTTCAGCAGACACCATCTACTAGTGAACAGGTGTACAGTTTATCGTAAAACGTCTATTCAGCAAAATAAACACATTCTATTCCTCAAAACACCCTAGTTCCTTCTATAAATCCGAATCAGATACCCTTGGATTTGGCCATAACTTCACGTTGACATTCTGCCGCTTAAGTAAGTAATAATATATGATTGGATAAACGATTATCATGCGAAAATACCGAATTAGCTTAGTTAATCGGTAAGTACATAATTATTTTTATTCGAAGCTAAATGCAATGAAGTAACGTTGAACAAAATCATATCGTTATTGGTCCAGCTAACTATATGAAGATGTCTTGATAAGGCGTAGAGAATGTATTCTATAAGCACCCACAAAATATGAGGTTGACAAGCACACAAATAAAGCTCATTTATACAATAACAGAAACGCCCTTGGGAGAGTTACAAAATGGCGTACTAAAATAATCCGTCAACCAATAACAGTCAAGGATTTTCCAGGTGGTAAGTGCAATCTCAAGGTCAACCGATCAGCCCAGGCGCGGAAGCATACAATCCAAAATTATGACCTTAATCAAGTGAGTTCTGGGGATCTAACGTCCTCAATAGACAGGCAAAGTAAGCAGAGCACACACATCACACACTAATGTAACTACGACCAAGATATGAGTGAATAAGTGACACGGTCGAAAAACAAAAGCTGAGATAAGCCTAACATATAAGTCAACATATTACAAAATCCTATGATCATGGACTATTTAAAAAAGGCTTACAAATGATTCTCATGCCAAGTACTGACAAACTCAGATAAAGCACACCTCGGTTCTAGATAGACGATTCTGCTTGTCTGTCACTTGAAAAATTTGGATTTGACTACACAAGAAGTTAAGAATTGAATATATATATTATGCACGAAACAATAGATGGGACAGTTGAAATGGTAGAACGTTTTCATGAATGAATAAGAAGCATAAATATACTGTCGAAATACTTGGCTAACAGCAATCTCACTGACCGAAAAGTTTAACTTTTCTACTCAGTGGAATATTTAAAATAAATTATTTTTGTAATTAGCAACTTAGTCAGCGATCAATTTATTTCAAATTATTAAATATATAATTACATTCTCATTTTGTATGCCTTTTAAACAGTTAGTTATCTAAACAAGTTGATCTATATCAATTGGCCATATACATCATCAGTAACAACCAACTGTGTGTGGGAGAGAATAAAACCAGAAAATGCGCTTGGACGTGGACTTACAATTAACAAAATATCTGGAACTCCAAACAACTCTCAATAAACATCAAAATCAGTATTTTCAATACAAATGTCAGGACAGTTCTACTGTATGGAGCGGAAACTTGCAGAACTATCAAAGCCATCATCCAGAAGATACAAGTGTTGATTAACAGTTGTCTATGCAAAATACTTCAGATCCGTTGACCAGACACCATCAGCAACAACGTACTGTGGGAGAGAACAAACCAGATTCCAGTGGAAGAGGAAATCAGGAAATGGTGGAAGTGGATAGGGCACACACTACGAAAAGCACCTAACTGCATCACGAGACAAGCCCTCACATGGAACCCTCAAGGCAAAAGGAAAAGAAGAAGGCCAAAGAATACATTATGACGAGAAATAGAGAAAGATATGAGAGGAATGAACAAACATTGGACAGAACTGTAAAGGAAAGCCCAGGACAGAGTTGGATGGAGAAAACTGGTCGGCCGCCTATTGTTCATTAGGGGTAACAGGCGTACAGTAAATAAGTAAGGTTGGAAGTGGACAAGAAACATATTGCAGAAACCACCAAACTATGTCATAGTGGAAGTCTTTACTTGAAATCTTCAAGGTTGAATAAAAAGAGGAAGACCAAAAAACATACGGCACTGATGATCCGAGTTAGACATCAGAAGAATGAATTTTACTTATCAATAACTGGAAAGGAGAGCTGAGGACAGATTTTAGTTTGAGAATTCTAGTCGATAGAATATGCTTTACGAAAGTTTACAAAAGTTAAATGAATAATCAACTAAAGGTATCATAAATGAACATTTTTTCACTTAGTCAATTACTGAGAATTCCTCATCGCAGTAAGATTCGTAATCATGAATACAGTCAGTAACTGTTGTCAATATATCACATTTTTGTAGCTTTTTTTTACTAAGACTGATTTGAAGAAATAAAAGCCAATCTCCTCCTAAGTTAAAAATTATAAAGTGATCAGAAAAATAAATTTAAAAAAAAACATTGATTCCAACTTTTCCAATTACTTGTAAGTAAACAAACTAACTGCTTTCTCAGCTGATTTTATTACCTCAGTATAAAAACAGCTGATATTTTCTCAGAGACCAATCAGAATGCAATATTTAAAAAATCAACCAATCACATTTTAGCAGTCATTTATTTTCAAATATATCTATAAATGTTAATCGATCAGAAATTTTCCACTTTAACTTTTTGAAATAAATCCAAAATGCTAAAGTATTTTAACTAATAATGATGATAAGAATATTTAAACTGGGACTGATTTCTAAATAATATTTACTATACATAATAGTTATTTGACTGCTCCAATTAATGTTGAGGACAGTGATCGACTAAGTCTCTTTGGCATACATGCGGCAGCCTGTGCGAATTGCCTCAATATTACCATTACGTCACAGGCATTATTATTTGGCATAGATAGAGGGTGGCTAGTAGTGGAATTGAGGAAGCGCATTTCGGCCTATTTGGGACTCGTCAGCTGGATGGATGCACCTGCATTTCAGAGTTGATGTCCATTTTCGGGACTTGAACCCAACACCGTCGGCTTCAAACGCCCTCGCATTATCCATTACTTCGTCCCACTGCTTAAGCCAGTGTACATCTAGCCTAGTACATGAGACGGTGGAGAAGATGTGTAGCTCAGGTGGATACTTATTGTGTTGTTTCGTTCTCTAAGCAGGATGAAAGCTACACAACCAAAATCAGGATTTTCAATACAAATGTCAAGACAGTTCTACTGTATGGAGCGGACACTTGCAGAACTACCAAAGCCATCATCCAGAGGATACAAGTGTTTATTAACAGTTGTCTACGCAAAATACTTCGTATTCGTTGGCCAGACACCATCAGTAACAACGAACTGTGGGAGAGAACAAACCAGATTCAAGTGGAGGAGGAAATTAGGAAGTGGTGGATGTGGATAGGTAACAGTCTACGAAAAGCACCTAACTGCGTCACGAGACAAGCCCTCACATGGAACCGTCAAGGCAAAAGGAAAAGAGGAAGGTCAAGGAACACAATACACCGAGAAATAGAGAAAGATATGAGAGGAATGAACAAACATCGGATAGAATTGGAGAGGGAAGCCGAGGACAAAGTTGGTTGGAGAAAACTGGTGAGCGGCCTATGCTCCATTGGGGGTAACAGGCGTAAGTAAGTAAGTAAAGTAAGTTGATAATATGGACGAGGAAATAACCACAGGATAAAAATTTACCAAAAAAGAATGATCGATTGGGGTTGTAGATATCAACGGACAAAATCTAAACAACCAATACTATTCGGTTTATGTTTGAATTAGGTTCATGGAAATTGATTGTGTTCATGTTGAATCATAGTACTAAAACGTCTTATTAAATTGAACTTGTTGTTGCATAGTTCTGAAAAGCACTGATTGTCAAGAAATAGGCGTCGACTATTTGGTTAAGGTCCGCGACACAACAGTAACCGATGATGGTTGGATACTTTGAATGACATGCCACAGAATACTTTGCAATAATATAGGTGCATCCATTCTTTGTCTTCTCTCAAAATCTAATCTTCTAAGTTCCTCATCATCTCTGTCTTTCTCTTTCTAAATTTATTTCACTGGAATATACTTCTTCAAAAATTTCTTCTTCCAGAGTACCGCTGGTACTTCTACTATCTCTACCACTATGGGATTAGAATGAACAATTTGATCTCTCTATGCTAATGTGATATAATAAGTAACTTGAACTAACGCGTACTTACGTACAAAGTTCTACACTGTAGCTGCTGATTGACTCATT